CGTCGCTGTCAAGGACTATGCTTATTACCAGCAGCAGCCTGGATCGATTCTATATGTCATCTCTATAATCTTGAAATGCTATTCGATTGAGCTAAACGACACGTTCCCTTTACGTTTTTATCCAATACTTGAACACCGGTGTTTTCCCACGTTATAGGGTGTATCTAATTTTTAAGAGGACCAACCCAGTTTACGCTGATTATGGTTACTTCCGCTGTTTTCATACGGTTGGAATGTTTGCCTATACTATTTATTTATGTTCCGTTAGAGTTTTCTCAAGGCCCAGTACAGTTTGTTTGCAGAACCGGATGAGGTGCAATCGATACATTTCCATATTTTGTGTGACGCGTGTCTGTATGGAATTTGGCATGGGTCAAACAAATAATTAAGACCATTTTTCTTGACCTTTATTCGACGTTTCATATCCCTTCAAGGGATAATTTACTCTATGCTCTGTCTGATATTTGGATTAACCACTGCGTTCAACTGCATATCGCGGCGTACTTAGCAAATGGTAAGCAATTTTCCCTCTTCAGCGTCACGGACTTACGACAGCTGCCCTAACAGTCTCTGTCTACCCCAAATTTGGTCTCTTTCCATTGCTACACCAGGAATAATAATGTACTTGAAATATGCGGATGGCAGTAGCGTCGTTGCCGTTACCATAAACAGCCAAGACCTCGAAGAATATATGGGTGGTATGAAGAAACTGGTGCACTTTACACCAGATTTATCCTTTTCTAAGGCAAGTGTGTAGAATGCCTTTTTTATCTAAATGTGTGCAGCCTCGATCTCTCAACCTTTCCAGGGAAGAAACCAGTCTAATCCACACGCTGATCAATCGGGTATTAAAGTGAAGCACAGTTATATCACCATTAATCATAGATCAGCGTCATCTGGTCACATGATTTACATAAAGAACGAGGAAAGCCAATTTCTATAATAACTGACATAATGTCAGTTATCACGTTTGCTTCTCCAATTTATTTCGGAGCCTTAACAGAAGGTGATGTGGTGCTCTTACGACGATGTATTACAGCAATCACGAGATCTGGAGAATTGCAATACCGTCTAATGACTAATACCATTGCGTAGACTGTTCATGACAGGCCATTCTCCTTCGTCGAACGTACATAAGAGATTTAACAGCCAGCCACTCTCAGGGTACCTCTGCAAGGAAACTACAGAAAGACACTGAAAAAAGAACTGAACTGTACACGATATAATGTTACCGCCGTTAGTACCGCCGCCGTACCCCCATGAATCCTACTACCGTTAAGTATTGTATGCTGCATTAGCAACTTTCTTGTGGTTGTACGCTATATATATGCGGGTGGTGAAAGCATACTTTTTCTGAACAGAACTGATACATTCTGAATACTGTGTGTGTTTACTGTTGATGTCACTTGTAGTGCATGCGGTGTGCTGTGGTGCTTTTGCCATTCAGGATATAAAGGAATACGGTACATGGGTTCTGAATGCTCTGTGGTAAATTTGAATTAGGTTATTTACCATTCGAATCTACTGAATTCAACAAGCAGTGACCTCCTCTGGCTACTATGACTCCCGGTTCAGTTGAGATGGCTGATCTGTGCATTCCATGACCTGTTCTGTGAACATTATGCAAGATTACGCGAAATTCCACTCAGCGCTGACAGCTGATTTTGAAGCATGACGTGTAGTCCTTTCTGTTTGTAGCTTAATCATGTAACCAGACAGTGATTCTGCAGTGACCAATCATATCAGGAATGGAAACCACACCGAGCATAAGGTGAAAGTCGAAGTGGCAGGCGAAAATGTGAAAAGCGGACTAAGCGTCTTGCTGTTGTATTGCAGCAACTTTTCAACAATCATTTCGACACTTACCAACCAAGAGTTGACCGCCTTGTAGATCAGTGGCATGTCAGAGCACCAACAGAATGGATACGAGTCTGTGATTGTGCTTTGTGTTTTGATGCACGATCCGACCAGTCGCCGTTAGGTGCTTCATTTGATGCTTGTCTGCATCCTGAAAATCAAGAAAATCTATGATGTCGGACGAGAAAATAAAGACTGAAAATTACCCTACCTTGACGTACATTCCCTGGAAGTCAGAAACCTAAGATGTGAATTTCCCAGTTTCATTCACTGGACAAATCGGATCCATTTCTTTCGTTATGATGCCATTGCCAAGCACAGTCGATTATCGTCCTGAAAGACAGCTGGATAAGTGAGCTTCTATGTTTACCCTTTTTAAGCTAACCAACGAAGCATAATCCTTAGGCGAACTGTTGTTTCAGCCATTCGATTGGCATCAAGTACTCAGGTGGACAGAGGTATGGATATTTTGGCTGATTTAATTAAGTTCTATTAGATCAGGTTATTTTACGTAAGATACGGCAGTTACAGTGCAGAATGGAAGAGATCGAGGCAGAGGCAAAATATGATAATAGTACAAAGGGAAACTTAAACACGTAAAACTGTATGTCCACTCATTCTACCGATACTGGTCTTAAACGGTAAGACGACTGTTGCTTCCGTACAGTCGTACATCAGGAATAGAAGAGCGGTCTTTCTCCGTTACTTTAAACAACTGTACAAACATAATTGTGAGAGAATCTATAGAAGATAAGAGAATAGAGTGAGTGAGGCTGCCATCCAAGAAATATGTTTAAGACCAGTATTGAAGCTGCATCAAACGATGGATCCGAAACGAGTATTTTGTTCATCCGCTCATAGTTGTACAGGAAACCAGCGAAAACTGTTTTATCATACAATGTAGTAAACTACTGGGCTCTGAAACGGTACAAAAATTTCAGCCTCTCTCATTGGCCTTCTTTTAGAAAGAAGTTCAGGGAGATATCGATGTTTGTTGGAGTCGTACCGAGAAATAGGCCTCTTGACTGAAGAAAACCCACTTCGAAGATGACTTTAATATTAACAAAAAACACCCTGCATTATACCTTAAAAATGTATGTAAGTTATGGGTCGAAAGGTTAATATTGTAGGCTTTGTATACGTCATTGCTGAGATCAGAAATAAGCATCATCTTGCATGGCATTAATTAATGCTGATTAGTCAAATGCCGTTCCTTTCCATCGAATTAGTGATCATTTATATCCCTTGCAAAAATAGAAGACGCCGGAGGAGGTTTCAGATGAATAAATGTGTCGACTTGTGGTTATTTGAAATAGAGTTCAGGTCTGCGATGCCCTGACATTCGCCGTGAGCAATTGTTATGAATCGTCAAAAGTTGAATAAATGTTCTTACTCGATAATAGATCGACTTGGCACCTCGTTTCCTTTAAGGCAAATCTTAAGTCTAAGGGAAGAATATTCTTACTAAGCAGTGAATTAAAGGAAAGGGATCAGTGTCCAGGAGTCTAAGCCTTAGAGAAATTCGTAAAAATCAAGATTGTTGCCAACTCTACTGACTGTTAAAGTTTTTGCAGTGCATCTAGAGTGTCTTTGAGCGTTGGTATTGTTTGACTTATTTTATTGTTATCTGTTATTTTAGAGCATGACTGAATTAATATTCAGGTATGAAAAGTCTGTCTGGGACCCAGGGAACCCTTAATACAAATTCAAAGAAAATATTAGAACTGAAGTTCGTCTTCATGTCTGAAGAAGTTTGCTGTGTTTACATATTTCTGGTCGTATCTTATATTTTGTATTCGTATTTTGTATTTTGTAGTCAATGATAGACATCATTTTGGGATTGCTAAAACGTTAATATGTCCAACACCAATTAACACATAATCACGTTCCTCAGTTGCATTATTGTAACTATATATATCCACTTTTAAAAAACCGTCCCCATTGTACAGGATCCCTGCATATTATCCAATTTTTACTTCGATTCTTTGTGTCCTAGGTATGAAGCCCCGCGAGTACAGCAGAACGGCTGCAATGGCATTTTATTTATTCGTAGCCTCCGTTGGCTTTCACCTGGATGACTCCTTGACTTCATGCGTAAGGTCTTCAAACAGCTCTGTCGTTTCATATGCCCAATCTCTTGTTCTTGGTGACAAACGAGAAGGGTGACCGTTTTTGACCGATGCGAATTTTCAAACTCTACGCGGAAATGAGTGAAGCTAGTATCATATTTAGTAGACATATTTAGTATTTTTCGGAATTCGAACTTGGCACCTCTAGGATTCGAAGCCAAGAAATCTGCCACTGTGACTCCGTGCTTAGATTTTCTAGATTTTGAAACATGGCGGCCTCTGCTTGTATAAATTCCATGGAATCACGAGTTATACGACAGTAAGTTGATCATTTGATGATTCAGAGCTCCAAACATGAAAAACTACAAAAATGGAAAAAAACTTTACTGCCATCATGTTTCACTACAAACCGTAGCATCACCAGGTCACTTGATGATGCTACGGTGTTTGTAATGAAGCGCGTTGGCAGTAAGGTTTTTGCTGTTTGCTATGTTTAGAGCCCTGAATAGTGAATCGCTCAACCTACTGTTGAAATAGTTGAGGACCCCGAATTGATAGCCTAAAAACCATATTTATATGCGAGTCATGCCTCTTCTAAACTACTGTCTGTGGACGCAGAGGTAGAAACGGATGCGATCAAGCAAATATACTTCATCGGCGAATGATATGGTTGTTGCTGGGCCGCGAGACCCATGCTGGACGATGGACATCAGTTTTGAAAGTTTTTTATAGTTATGGTGTCGGTTTCCCTTGCCTTTATGTAACACCTGCCACATGTAATATTTTTCTTCTGAAATGAGGGATTGTAGCTTATGTTTAAACAAGGATTTTTTTCGATACCATCATCTAGGAGTTTCCCTTAGTTAAATCGTTCAGCCCTGTCCTTTCGTTAACTTACCTTTACTCGAACAGTGATTCACTTGGCCTTTTGTTTAACTTAATTTTCGTAGGTATTTGGAAGAAGAGATGGGAAGTTTCGATCAGAGCTGGTGACCTGAGACAGTGGTGAACGCGTAGTTTTAGTCGTTTGTACTAGTGATGGTGTGATCCTCTTTTCGTGCTGATCTAACAACTATGGTTCTCGCTGAACTCGGACGGAAAATCCGTAACGCCATTGGCTCGCTGAGCCAGGCGACGGTAATCAACGAAGAGGTTCGTGGTCATTTTCATAACATTTCCATGACAATTTGTTTATTATGACGTCATATTTGCAGGTTCTCAATGCTATGTTGAAGGAGGTCTGCACTGCGCTGCTCGAGGCCGATGTTAATATCCGTCTAGTGAAACAGCTTAGGGAAAATGTGAAGTAAGCGGTGACAGGCGAGTCACGATCACGTTTTGACCAGTGTATAAAACTTTTACACGGCTTTGACTTTTGTTTGTAGATCTCAAATAAATTTCGACGAAATGGCAGCTGGCATGAATAAACGTCGTATGATTCAGAAGGCTGTTTTCCAGGAACTTATTAAGGTAAGTGCATAGTCATACAGTTCCTATCTTAATTCCTGGTAATCCGATAAATGTAGCTTTTAATTTACGCTTCTCGCTGAGACTGCTAATGGGTATCCAAACGACTATCGCAGTGTGGATAAGCGAGTAAATGACATCAAGCTAGTTTTTAGCAAAAACATAGGCTTGCATGTTATAAAACTGACGCAGGCAGTTGACCCTAAAGAGCAAAGGTATGACGACTTGAAAGAAAGCGGAGAGGGAGTTAAATCATTTTATTGCACCGAGAAATTGCTAGAATGATCAGTTTCACCATGGAGAAAGTGTACAAACATGAAATCAACTTCTTGGATGAATGGCGCATTAAAACATGTATAAAAAACCGTAGCATTCTAACGTTTCTGCCCTACAGAATGTGACATCTGGTTTGCGTGTTGATCGATGGCCTCGGCCATTTATTTCGCTAGGAAATCAGACAGTTGATTATACCGCTTAACTGTGCTTCCCTTAACATCATGCAATTTCATTTGTATTTGACCCCGAAGTCGGTTTATGGTGTGGAAACGCGGTTGTGAAAAATGAGTTTCCACCATTCTAATAACAAGTTATTTTGAACCATGAGTACAGAACCGTTAAGAGGTATCAAATCAGTATCTCCCTTCTTACTTGTTGAAACTTTAAACTTCGAAAAATTGACAGATAAAAGCTAGAAAACTATTTGCACTGTATTGGTCTATCGACCTCCCGTGAGGCCATGAACTTATGTGTAAACTAAAATGGATCCGTAACGGCATTTCGCATATGGTTTTTACTTAACTTCCTTTCCATTGCCTTTCTTGTCAGTCAGTTGTTTCCTTCTGCGTCCTCCTCCCTCACATCTACCACTGCCGTTGGCTTAGATGTTTCGTAAAATGGTTATTTTTATTGCTAATAGTTGATGAATTACCCTTTAAGATATTTTACCTGTTGCTTACTTTGAAGCTGACCAGAATTCTTGAATTATTTTTACACGAAAAAATCGAAATCTCGGTTTTCAGGCAGCTATGCGATAATGCGGTTCGTGATTTCTCTACTGTTGCACGACTGTAGTTGAACTTGCTGGTTTTGCAATTGTTGTATGGCAGTGAGAGTTCACTAATCTGCAGCATTACCGACTTTTTTCAATCCACTGCTGGATGAAACACTCTTCAAGAATTTGCCGCAAACTTCTGTTTTCTGTAACGATCTTCTTCAGCTCATCCTTTCTTTGATCTGGAGATCTTCCTGCGAGCCATTTACTTCCTCTTGGGACTCAGTCGAATGTCTTTGTGGTTCAACGACGGTTTATTCTTCTTGCACCGTACCCTGCCTATTGTCACTTTAACCTCGTCACTCGTTTCCTGTTATTCTCAAGTTAAATTTTCGATGCTGCGTTTCGTAGCTCGTAGTTTATGAATATCTTTCGGGCATAGGGCCCACGTTTCGCCACCATGGGCTAGCACTGCGTTCATGCACTGATCGAAGTTTCCGTTTCAACGACAAAGGCAGTTTCCTTTTAGTTATTATTTGCCAACGCTTCAGCCAGTTCCAAAAATATTTTCAGTGATAAGCATATACTTTCATATGTGTATATGGACGGATGCATGACAGGTGCTTAAAAAACTCGCCCTCTAACGTTTTCCCTTGCATGATTATGCTTTTTAGCTCGTCGACCCGGACGTAAAACCCTGGCAGCCCGTCAAGGGAAAGCCAAATATCATCATGTTCGTTGGTTTGCAGGGAAGCGGCAAAACAACGACGTGTACGAAGGTACAGTTTGTTGCGCGTTCACCCTGTTTTGTTAATCGAGATTTGGCGTGCTTCGTAGATGGCCTATTTTTACCAGAAAAAGGGCTGGAAAACATGCCTTATCTGCGCGGACACGTTTCGAGCCGGGGCTTTCGATCAACTGAAACAAAACGCCACGAAAGCTAGGATACCGTTCTACGGCAGGTTCGTTAATTAATTAATTTGCGTTTACAGTTTAGTTGAATTTACAATAATTATGACTATGCGTTTCGTTTAGTTATACGGAAATGGATCCGGTTGTGATTGCAGCTGAGGGAGTGGAAAAGTTTAAAGAAGAGAACTTCGAGATAATCGTTGTCGACACCAGCGGTCGTCACAAACAGGAGGAGTCGCTTTTTGAGGAGATGTTGCAAGTGTCCAATGCTGTTGTAAGTCTCTTGGTTATTGATGAGCGATGAATGGGCATTTTTATATGCCTTTTAATAGCAACCTGACAACGTCGTTTTCGTCATGGACGCCAGTATCGGACAGGCTTGCGAATCGCAGGTAAACGAGTGTACTTGTCACCGTGGAATGTCCATTATGACGCCCGGTTTGGTTTCCAGGCTCGCGCTTTCCATGAAAAAGTCGACATCGCCTCTGTCATAGTTACCAAACTTGACGGTCATGCGAAGGGTGGCGGCGCATTAAGCGCGTAAGTGGTTAAAATTTGCGTTTATTTGTACCAGTGTTTTGTATCAATTTTATACTGACCGTAGATGGACTTTGTTTTGCCTCCAGATCATGAGCTTTTTCTATTTGTCGATAACTGACATGAAGTTTTGTGACGCATGGAGATTACAGAATATGACTTATTCTATTAACATTTTTTATATGTTCAGGATCATTTTTGAGTACGTTATTTTCCAATAGTGTGAAACTGGGCATTACAAAATAGCCGAATGATTTCTGAGTAAGTGGATACTGTGACTTGTCTTTTTGACTTGAATTGAATTCTTGACTTAGGAAAACGCGTGGGTGTATTACAGTCTATCAGAATCGCATCGAATGCTGTACATTCTTCTGCCTGTATTTTGCTTACGATCTCATTAGATGTAGTTAAGGCAGTTGAGGTTTTTCGAGCCTTGAAACCAAAACGTGGTGTCGGTTTACAAATGGCACCGAATTTAGAAAAATTGTTTTCTGATTTTTTTAAAGTTGCAATTACTGTAAGTATAGCAGGTGTCATTATACCAGTACCGGTCGATTTATTGAACTTCTTTAAAATTTTGTCAGACGATTTTTGAGAACCTTTCATTGAATGCATATCATGGGACCATTTAGTTAAGGACATTTTGGCCTTTCCCGTTATGCACCTCAGTCTAATGCCTTTATCATGCATTTTATCCCCAAGTATCTGAAAGTGCCTATCGATTTTTAAAACAGCTTATACCGTATGTTGTATTTTACCACATGGATCGCTGTTATGATCCATACTGCATGGAAAATTTGATCATGAACATATGTACTGTAACAGTATTTAAACATAAAATGTAGTAGATATGATGCTGTATGATATGTATCTGAAAGATTTTCAGCACTGGTAAAATATTAACGAATATGAGACTTTATGGGAGACGTCCCAATTTTTACATATGTGCACGGAAATGGACGGACTGGATAGGCGCAGTGTTACTGTAACCTGTTAATAAAGTTGTGGCGTCGCTGCGCATATTGCGCGTATATTCCTCACACAATCCTTGAATTTAGCAACCGGTTCTGCGGCAGTAAGATCTTCTCTGGCGTCTTCATGTCATAGGGACTAATAAACTGTCCATTGAAATTGTGACATATGGGGCCATACGTTGAGCTCTTGCATCAGATCAGCTCACTGTCCAGTCTTGATGATAACCAGTGTTATTTGCCAAAATTTTTTACTAGAATATGGATATGAACCATTTGCCGATTTTTGTGTCTCTATCCTTCGAAACCTTGAAACTCATTAGAATAAAATTTATACACAATATAACTCAAATATTTATTCGGATTCGTTGTCCTGTAATTTTTCAGTTTTGGACATCATCAGTTTACTTTTCCACTGTCTTATACCTGTAAACATGTTAAGTGGCATTTTGTATTTTCGTAAATACGAGTTGTGCTGTTTTGTAGTATAGCAGCACTTAGAGCGATAAAATATTCAAATTTCACTGAAGATTGCAACTCTTACTGTTTTTATCTCTGCCTACCGTACTCCTGTTCATCTTACTTTTGCTCATATCACCCTCCTTAATCCGGCTGGTCTCTGTAATAAAGTTGAGAATTATGCCATGCGTTACCTGAAAATTTTATATTCGTATTTTTTGTAATCGTTATTCTTAGGCAAGTAGATAAATTCTCATGACATCAGGATAAATTTAGTTGCTATTGTCAACCGTATCGGTACTCGCCAAGAGATTGGTTACTCAGATTATTTATTGTTATTGTTAAAGAATTCTACCATAATGAAATTTTCTGTTTGTGTTTATGCGCAACTATTTTATTTTTGAAAAGTTTTATTTTATCATTGTAAATATGTGTTTTTAAGTGTTGCAGCGACGCACAGCCCAATAATTTTTATTGGTACCGGTGAGCATATCGATGATTTTGAGCCGTTCAAAGTGAAACCTTTTGTACAGAAACTGTTGGGTATGGGAGACATTGAAGGTTTGCTTGACAAGGTGAATGAGCTGAAACTGGACGAGAACGAGGAGTTGATAGAAAAGCTCAAACATGGTAAGTCGTTCGTATGTTCTGTGATCACGCGTCCTGTATGCCATTAATTTGTTTTAATTTTTAAGGTCAGTTTACATTAAGGGACATGTACGAACAGTTTCAGAATATTATGAAAATGGGTCCGTTCAGTCAAATCATGGTGAGACTGTCGGATGACAAATGAGCATATGGAAGTTGACATCCTCTCGTTTTGTTTCAGAGCATGATTCCGGGTTTTGGTCAGGACTTCCTAAGTAAAGGAAACGAACAAGACTCGATGAAGAGGTTGAAGCGGCTCATGACGATGATGGACAGCATGAACGACCACGGTAAACGCTACTCATGCAAAATACATGAAGTACGCGCTTAGTATGCAATAAACATATAGTTTCAATTTGCTTTGTACTTTTCTTTACAGACAGCAGATACCGTGATGCCTTACTATGAGACCTTCATACAGCTGTATAACTTGGAACTCTGAGCCGTAGTTTTTCCAAAAAATAGTACAATAGTAGCAGTAATACGGTCATCTTGCCGTTTTTGCAAAGTATTTTCAACTACCTTTTTTATGCTACCTCAGTTTCACAGTAAAACTATTTCTGCCTACTAAATTACGGTGGAATATTTAAATATAACAAGTTCAATAAACTCGTTCATTGTTTACCCAACAAATAGCGGTGGCCTAAATGGTCGGGTTTGAATTCCGGATGTGCCGGATTCGATACCGGCGGTGGACAGCAGCAATTACGTTGGGCAAGTAATTTACGACACCTTGCTTGAGACCGGGTTTGCAGTCAATAGATTATCGAAATCAGAACCAAGAAGCCCTAAGTTCCAACTCCGATCGGGGTCTCTCGCGTTTGTTCCCCATGAGATTGATAAATGAAACTATGTGCAGCTGTTTCCGTGTAGCTGTTGTCGACTTTGCCTTTAAAATAAAACCTGGTTAATGGCATGAAAATGGAAGACAGCACCTGTTCATTAACTTCAAGAAAAGAATGGCGCCAGAAATCACTGAATTCCTATGGTTACGAACTTTCCTGTTCGTTCCTCTTTTTATTCAATAAACGCGCACAGGCAAAGGAGCTTAAAATTGACATAAATATGACCGTTTAGTTTTGACCGCGAATTATTTTTATGCTAATGCTTAGATATTATCTTCCGACTGCTTAGTCGAAAATGGAATAGTCCTAATTTTTAACTGTGGCCTTACTGAAAATTTATTTTTCTCTAAATTTGTTATTAACAATAGTTTCAGCAGACCATGCATGTACATTTGAGATGCTTAGAGCTTTATACTGAACGCCATGTTGAGTCTAACACATAATAAGTCTCAAACTACTATAATTACGAGTAAGATACCGGTAGTTTCTAGAACTGGGGTGGTAATATCCCTGTTGAAAAGTGAGTCCAATGAGACTGCTGTCATTGCCATGGCATCACCTTATTGGCACCCTGGGAAACGTCCACTTAAAGGTTTTGGAAAGACGGTGCCATAAAATAGTTGAGACTGAAAATCCAAGAAGTTCAGAAAGGCTTCAGGTCAAGCCGAAATATGTCTTACCAGATCTTCATCCTGCGCCAGATTGTTTAGAAACCGTGTGTGTTTGCTCATCCGATGTACATGTGGTTTGTGGACCTGGATAGGCCTTGTGGCCGTATTAAACGCAGCATGCTGTGTGGCTGCTTAGAGCTATATTGGCTCGATGAACATTTGCTACAAACCGTCTGGTCACTGTATAATAAGCGTATGTGCTGCGTATTTGAATGGCGCTAAGTGGAAAC